AATACTTAGTTTCAGAATCAGGCTACTGATTTTCTTTGATCCTTTTAGATTTTCTTTGATCCTTTTAGATTTTCTTTGATCCTTTATTAGAGTTTATGCTGTAAATGTTGTAACAGTCAATTTTACAGCTATGTTATATTTATCAGTTCAAATATAATGTTTCTAATGTTGATTTACTACTGGAGAAAGTGGTTTCTCTATGCAAACATTAATTTTGGTCTTGAAAAAAAGTTATAGTGAAAATTCACATTTCTGATCATAAAATGACATAATAAAGGCAATTTCAGCGCATATAAGGCAGAATAACCATTATTGTGATTGAAAAAAAATGTCTTAGGCACTGCTTTGATTAAAAGTAAAAACTATCCTTTATTATTTAAATAATTATCAAAATGCTTTGAGTGGGCAACACTCTGCACAGATATGCCAGTTGGCACCAGTATTAAAAAGTCATTATTTATCAAAGTATTCTAACAAAAATATAATCTCTCTAGGACAATTTTCTTTTAATTCATCTAATGAAAATTTTAATTCATTATGTTAAAATGACATTGTTAATTGTTTCATCATTTATACAGGACGTAATTAAGACCCTACTCTTCATCAAATGTCAAGTGTATCATAGCATATATCTTGTCTAGTAAACAACTATACTAGAGGAAATTTTAACATGATTGCTTTAATCATAATTACTTCACAGTTATGTCTGCTGCAAATTACAAGAATGAAAGCAAGGGTTGTAACTCTTGAAACAGTCAAGCAGGGTAAAACTCTTATGGCATAGGCCAATCTTTATCATTGAAACCTTGATGTTTCAATATTTAATGAATATAGCTTAAACAAGAGCTGTCAGTTAGCCAGCACCCTTGACTTTTCTCAGAGCTTGATAGTAATAAAAAGGGCATAACCATAAAAAGGTTTCTTAGAGTTGTAGGACCTGTGTCCATTATGTTCCAAACTCACAGAAAACAAGTGTGTGAAATTTCAATCAATTCTCTACAGTAGCTTTGGAGATACCAACTTACAGGGAAAAACCTAACCAAAGTGTGTCAGAGTGAGTACATTTTGTACATACGGTAGCTCTCACTATTTTTCAAATACCGGTAGTCTAGCTAACAAGTGACAGCAATTTGATACAAATTAGGTATTCTGCAAATATTACTTTACGAGGAAAAAAAAGGGCCATAATTCTGCCAAAAAGGATCAAATTAAAGTACCACAATACTTGATGTCAATCATTTTTTGAAAGTTTGAATGAAATCCTTTCAGAAATTTAGGAGTTGATCATGGAAAAAGATTTTTATAATGTCTTATTTTTTTCTGCAATCTGTTATACTTACTTTAGTCTTTGGTTCTTGTATGGTCACACCATCCACTGATATTGATAATTCTACTTTTGGAGTCTTCTGACCTTCAGTCTTTCGTATAGTCTTGTTGAACTGTAAAATATATTAATATGTTTGATCTTGTTAAATTGTAAAATTCAATATGTACATGTATTGTCTTATAAAACTGTAAAAAAATTAAAATGTTAATTATTATTAAACTGTAAAATAAGTTTAAATGACTATCATCTTGTTTAAGTGTAAGTTCAATACTGAATGAAAGATTTAAATAAAATTATATTATGCAAGCCTCTGGCTCAGTAAATATTTTTTTATTCACCAAGTGCAATGTAAATTCAGTAATGAACCTTCACAAATATAGTATTTTAAAATCATCATTTTTTCATTGATGATACTTTAGTGTAATGATAACATTTAGCAAGCTTTTACGCTATGTTTAATAAAGCAAATGATGTCATAACAATACATATGCACAGCCGTGCCATACCATTTTTATGGAGTCATAAAAGCTGCACGGGTATGTGAAAAATTATCATAATTAATTATTGATAATATCATAAGAAGAGGTATATGGATAGTTTCATATTAAATTTGCAAGGTATCAAAAATATCTATGCCTTTCATATAATTTCAAGGTGTGACTGTAAAATAACAAATTATCATAATTTATGATAGCGTCACACTTGAGTTATATAACACAAATGTCCTAAATATTTTACATATCAATTTTTTCACCGTATTATCAAAGTGTTCATATAATTGATTGTACATACAATGTATACAATTCAACACAGGCATGCACTATCAAACATTAAAGTTAATTATCAATGCACTAAATTTTCTCTTGGCGAAAAACAGTCCAGATCATAAAACAATGTGTCTATGTACATGTACAATGTACCTCATTTACATTGCAATATCCGGCTTTTTTATTGGTTTAAAATGGGCATGATTGGTTCTTTTTAACACTTATTGTGAAAAAGATGAACTTCCTCCTTGACTTCATTGAATACGAAAATTTCACAGAAAGCCCTTGACAATTTTTATTATTTCCCACTACATGATCCAGGAGGCATGCTTTACAACAGTATACAATTCTTGTATTTTATCATGACGGAAATTTGTCATTTATTTATGATACCATTGTAAGAGGCAAAAGATGGGAAAGAAGAAAGTCATGTTATTTCTAATTACCCACTTCAATCTTGCATCATATTATAAAGCATGACTAAAATATCTTATACCAGTATTTAAAACCTTGTACATGTATCATACTAATTAATACTTAATAGCCTGAACAGAAAATGAGTAGCCTATGGTACCAGTATAGAGCCAGGCCGGCCTGAACTACTGTACAGTCCTAGCAGGGTCTATACTGTAAGTCGCTCAATTTTTGTATTTTGAAACAAAGATCCACTTTGATTCAGGATTGTTCTAAGCAGGGCAAATCCATAAGGTAAAGGGTTAAGAAAATCTGAAATGTGTCTGCCTAAAAATAAGTGAATAAATTTTCAATGAATCAAACTGTGGAAAATTATATTACAAGTTCTAAGAGTTCAACTACGAGTTCAACAAAACGTGAAAATATTAAATGCATAATTCATAAGACAAGATGTACAAAATTGGCCTGAAGTTGCCATAATTATCATTATAAATGTTACTAACACAGTAAGCAATATTTTTTGTTTATTTTGACACATCTGAAGATAATTCATATTGACCATATTTATAAGTTATGCTAGCTGAAATTACTTTAGTGATTCAAAATTTCTTTTACTATTTTTTCAAAATTTTCATAGATCATGTCTGTGGAGGCATGCCCCTTTAACATTCTCAGCTGTATAATTTTTGTTGGTAAAATATTTGTTTTAATATCATAAATCAAGAGGATATTGCCATTCCATCAACAAGTCTGTTTTAAATGTCATACAAAATACCATTTCAGTAAGACATTTAGTATTTGAATAATGGACTTGTCCAGCTTTCAAAATGGAACAATCCATTAAAATTTTAAGGGATGTCAGACTATTATATATAAAAAAATCAAGCAGTCTACAGACTGCATGAAGGTAGTGACTAGTTTTGCCCTATTAATATAATTTTACTGTTCTTTAATTTTTAATGTTTCATTAACTGGGCTTTTAATAGTATTCCAGAACTTAAAATTAATGGCAAGCTGAAACAGTCATAATGTAAGTGCACATGGATTTTTTAACCAGTTCTAAGCTGTTTTATCACAAAGATTTGGAAACATTTGAAAATAGTACAAAAAAAAAGCAACAGAAAAAACATGTGCCCTTCTCACAAAACCCAAAGTCCAACAATCTAGCACTGCCTACTGAGCTAACTGAATGGGCAAACTTTGACTATTAACTGGTGGTGGGTGGCACAGGGTTAATATTATTGTCATTATTGAAATATAAGATATACCTTTCGTTTACGTATAGCATCTTTCACAACATCTGTACCTTTTGGTGATTCAACCTCACATTCTCCATAAAACTGTAAACATATAAAGAAAGTCTATAAAAATATTAAAACTTAAAACTGTAAACACAAAAAATGCAAAACTGTAAACATATATATCAAACTGTAAACAAAAAATAGTAGAGTTTGAAATAAAAACAAACATGTTTGTTTCAAATATATATAGGAGACCACAACAGGATTTGGAGATATATTTAATTTTATAGACATAGACCTTTTATCATACTAGAGCTGTCAGTAATCAGTATCAGTAAAACAAGAGCCTGGAGAATGTATTTTTTAAAGTTCAAAAAGGGCTCAAGTTCGGACAGAGTTATGGGCCTTATGGGATAGATATCTCCTATTTTGCTTTCAAATAAGTGTGTTTCCCTTCAGTAGTTTTGGAGATATTAACTTTCATGCAAAAACTAAACAAAATGTGATGTCAATGCCAACATCAATGCCTGAGCCCTACTCTCCGAATAGACAGGCTAAAAATGCAGACTACTAAGTGCTGTGCATTACATTGAATTAATTGCTGTTTTAAGACCAAAACTGGCACACTTTAAAGACTGTCTCTTACAACATTTATCAAAGAAATGAATTCAACAAGTAAACAAATAAACAATCTTAAAACCATTTTATCATCTTGCTATACATTCTACTTTAAAACATAGACTAATGCAATGTAGCCTTAAGGGGTTTCTCCAGATCAGACAAAATTATCTCCCCTTCATCTACCATAGTAACTGTCTGAAAAATCAACCAAGTAATCAACTATCAATACAAGATCTACATTCAAAAGTGTCCATTACTCAACCCCTGTAGGTCAAAATATCTCTAAATTTATCACTAAAATAACAACTTATTTTTTCTGTCATATTATTGCAAAACAATAAAAAACAAAATTATATGTATTTATTTTTCCACTGGCTACATCCATTATTTACTTAACCTTTATCATTCTAGTTGTGTTGAAAGGACAATGCCCTGTTTGGAATTTGGAAGTCAATTACTAATTACAGAGCTTTCAATATCAAAGTATTTAACCATTACCCTCCTGGAACCCAAAGTGATTGGCCCTTAGTGCCACGACAGGGCCAGGCCAGCCTACACTTTCATACAGTCTGGCAAAGCTCTATGCTGTTGGCTACGTAACTGTTATGTTTATCTTGGTATCCCCAGAATCAAGAAAATTAATTTTCCAATTTTAAATATCAAAGCTGGACAATCATGTCCATTTAAGAAATTTCATCAAAGTTATTAAGGGTTACATTAACCAATCAAAAGTAAAGAATGTATGGATCTGCAGCCCTGGCATAGAGCTTAACTTCTGGTGGTAAACATTGAGATCTGAGAGAAATGCTCTTCTAAGGAGTTGAAAATAATTCAATAAAATAGATATACATATAACTTATGACTTGTATATTTATCACTGATTTGATTACAACTAAATCCCCTTTGTCTCTTTCATAATTTCTCTATGATCTTACATAATAACAGATATGCTGAATTTAAACAATGTGTACTTTATATGTACCCTTGTTCATAATCACATTTTTGTTAATTTTATCAATACAGGATTGTAAAAGATTTCTCAAGCTAACTAACGCCTGTATTACTCACATCTGAACCATGTAACAAAGTCCGCAATTAAATGACCACAATAATAAAAGTACAGTAAAGTACAAACTATTTTGGAAGGAATACTTGAAAATAAAAAGTGCTCTAACAAAAAAGTAAAATATAAACAATCATGTTATTCTTAATCATAAGTGCATGTACATATATTAGGAATATTATGTACAGTCAATTTAGGAATACACAATTCTTAAAAATTAACTAAAAACATCTCATAATACTTTGGCTTGTGCCTGTATTTGAGTTTATTTATACTGGCCACTGGTTGCCCTTATGGGCGAGTCCTCCAGAACAGTACTAGTCATTTTAGATTTTGGAGGATACCGATAGTTCAAGATACAGTTACAGAAAGATACCCAAAATTCCAGCAGCTTCTCCTGTTTCTTTTAGTGTTTAAGCACTCATACACAGGACCTCAATTAAAAGTCTAATCCGAAAGACTGATTAGTAATTTTAGTTGGCCAGGCCGGGAGTCGAACCCACAATGTCAAGATTATGGCAGTGTATTATATATCCCAGACAACACAGGGCAAACAAACATAAAAACATTGTGACTAGGGTATTGAATGTCACATGACAAGTACTGCATACTGTGACATACTGCAGAACACTATCATACTGATATGTAATACTCTTATTTCCTAATCTACATCTATTATTTGTAGCTATTTCTGGCACTTTTTGCAACATTAGAATTTTTTGTCTTAATTGAGAAATTTTCATAGCAACAATACTTATTCTTTTTACAGGACAGAGCACACCCATTACACTCTAACCCTACTTGTTTTAAGGGATTTCATTTCAGTATCAAAATACATAAACAAGTCTGGCTAAGCTGCATAGATGAACAGTGTGGCTACTCTCAACCTCCATGGCTGTGAGTTTCCATAAAAAATTTACCCAAGGCTGATTCTATATCCTTTCCGCGACAGTAACATATTTAAACGTATCGTTTTTTCGTTTCTCAAGAGGCCGACCCTATTTTACGAAAGAACACCCAAAACGTAATAAAACGTGTCAAAATTTTTTATTCTCAAAAGCGGATATTGTTTTGTCGTAGGAAACCCGGCAATATTTTCATCACATTATTTTGCATTAGCTACTTTGAAAGCATTTTTCAAAAGACGGTAAATAAAATAAATGTTTTAAGAAGTTTTTTTAAAAGTACTATGTCATTTTTATAAATATCGGTTTTAGAGTGTCACTGATCGTTTATTAATCACATTAATGGAAAATAAAATTGGTAATTTAGTTCAAATCAATCTTAGGTAAAGTAAGCTACAAATACTAACTTATTTCAACCATGCATTTGTCTATTTAACTAATAATAAGGCTTCTAAAACATGTTTCTACCTATATGTTTGTCTTAATTGTCAAAACCTTATTTATGACATTTTTCTAAAGACAAGATGATTAATTATTGCTTATTAGATTAATCATGTTTACGAAATTCTACAATTCAGTCATTTAACGGTAACTTCTCATTTACGGTTTGACACATAGTGGATTTCATATTTATCTATACCGCATAATGACCCGTAACGTAGTAAAACATATTTTCATCAAAATGTGCATTTATAATTATCTGAGATTTTTATTTCACAGCAAACAAACACATATCCCCATAATGTAAAATGACGGTGTTTTCAATATTAACGATGGACAACCATATCGTTGAAATACGGTTTATTCCTCGTTCGCAAGAAAGTCTGAACCATATTAATTTTATGCATAAGATTTATCAGAAACTACACTTTATAAGACTTTACTTAATTATTTTACGCTGATTTCCGTTACAGTTTTTAAGACTGTTGAAAAAACACACGTTTTATAACGTTTCGGGTTTCCTTCATCAATTCAGACCCCGCTTTTAGGGTTTGAAAGAATGTGCCCGTTTAAAAAGTTTCGGGTGTCCGTCCGAAAAAGAGGGTCAGTCGTGGAAAGGCTATACTTATAGTACAAGTTATGTATGGGGTTGTCTGTGGCCGAGTGGTTTAAAGGTTGTTGATATGAAGTCAAACCACTTGAAAGGTTGTTGACTTCAAACCACTTGCTCCTTATTGATGTGGGTTCAAATCTTTGCATGGACTTTCAGATTCCCTTATATTAGAAAGCTATTTAACTAGTTTATGGAACTAAAATAATACACAGAGTGGCACTTGAGGTCTTCCTCCACTAGTGAAGTTGGGAAGTTGCCATAATTATGTCCATAATACACTGTCAATGTTAAAACCAAACAGAAAGCAAACAAAAAACAAGTCTGTTATCATCGTTGTTTAAACATATAGCATTAAAATATCATATTAAATCCTATACTAGATAATTTTACATTGTATATACTTATATACGTTTTAAGGTCACATGTTACTGGTTCAATAGTCACACTTCACGTAACAACAAGCTGTTTCATATACAAGACAACTTTGATAACCCGGAAGATATCCAAAGATGTCCTGATATAAAATATTTCATTTTACGAATGGCAATTTAGGCAATTTTGTATTGATAGTGAAGAAATAAATAAAAGTGTTTATTTGTTTTATACTATACAAAGTCATATACCTGTACGAATGATATTAATGAGGAAAAAATCATATTTATGACAAAAGAATTTACTTAAGCAGCAGGCCCACCAGTTTATAAGCTTATTTACATTTGATCCATGCAGTTTTAATATTTTGTTTAGTTTGAAAAATTACATTTCTTTTATTGTGTAAAAGTATATTGTCCAAACTGTGACACTTGTTTTACTGTGTAAAGTTTATTGATGTATATGTTACACTTGTTTTTTTGTATAAATCTATTGACATTGCTGTGATGCTTGTTTTTATTGTGTAATTTAGTATATAGACATTTTAATGTGATGCTCAATTTATAGTGTAAAGTATAGTGACATAAATCTGTGACGCCTGTATTATAAATTGTGTAAAGTATTATATACTGCCACAAATGTGACATTTATTTTGTTGTGAAAAATACATTGATGAAACTGTGACACTTGTTTTGTTGTGTAAAGTATATCTTGCCATAACTGTGACACTGTGACATTTTTGGCGACGCCGGTGAGTGGCGTCGTCTATTATGGAATGCTTTTTATTTTTGCCTATGGAAGGAGCTGTTATTATTAGCAGTTAATTTCATGTTGTGTTAATTAGTTTGATTTTGATTCGTAAAAATCAAGTAAACAAATGTGTTGTTATATTTGTATTTAATAACTTTATGTAACAAGAGCTGTCAGAAGGACAGCGCGCTCGACTTTTTTAGTGCTTGCCTATAAAACAAAACTTTGACAGTTAAGGGCACACAAGACTTTAACTAGGAATTTCTAAGTACAAATCAAGAAACATTTTCACAGAGTTATCTTCTCTTGCTTACAGATAGGTCTCATGATGGCA